CCATATTTTGGGACAGGGAATTTCCGTTCGTCTGCTTCTCTCCGCTGTATGATGCATCACCACCATCCCGGCCCGGCGAGGCGTGGGTCGGTATACTGCCAATCCGTGACAGGGCCCTCCGAGAGCGCCACCGGACCCGCGATGAGCCGTGACACCCGCCCCACCCCTCCCCGTGTGGAGGCCCCGCCCCGTGTGGCACGAAACGGCTTTGACATGGAGCTTCGGCTGCGGCAGCAGGCACACCAATGGTGCTTCCTGCAGTGAACCGTGGAGTGGGCAGCATCAGGACTGATTTGCTGTTCGTGGCCAGTCGTATGTCGACCTTTACGATGATTTATTCTCACTTTGACATCAATTTGATGTGGTTAATCCTAGTTATTTACCCAAATGTATGGCATTGCCATAAAACGGTTTTTAAAAATGCAGGACACTGTCCTGTATTTATTGCTCGCCGGGCGTTAGTACGTCCCTACACCCCGTTCGTGGGACGGCCTCAGCGGACAGGTGCCGGGGTGGGGTGACGTCACTGGCACGGGGCGCGGTCGGTCGGCCCTCCTCTGATACCATCGGTGACCGTGGGAGGGAGGCCCGTGCTCCCGGACGCAGGGGGCACGGGCAGACGGCACCTTCAGCGTGCACTCATAGCAGACTGGTCCCGCGGGGTAATCCAGACTGCCCACTGCGCTACAAGGCTGCCGCCTCAGACTGCACGACTTCGACCCCCGGACCGTGACCTCAAGCTGTTGTCTATGTACATAAGACTCGATAGGAACCGCTACAATAAGCAATTTCTATAGAAGCTTAGACTGAAGATGAGTCGAGCGGTTGGTATATTTTTTTTTCTATTTTATCGTATGTTGTTTTGTTTTGGTTTGTTTCAAGGGTTGTTGGACCATTTCCGTCTTATGAGACATTTTCAGAGCTGGAAAGCTAATAAATAGGAATTAGGGGGCGACATTGCATGGTCTGGGCGTCCATCCTGGTGATCCGCCGGGGCCGGGGCGGAGCCCATCACGTGGACGGGCCACCCAGCGCCGCTAACGGTCACCCCACTGCACGTGAGCCTGCTCATGAGGAGTTACTCACCTCGGATGAAGGTGGTCGTCCAGCTCAGAGCAGGGGGAAAGGCATGGAGAAGGCTTTGACTGTTCTGAGGATGAAAAAGAGGGAACGGTGCTTTGTAGGTAGGTAGGTACCTAATGTTTAAATGTATATTTAACCCTATTCCTGGCGGGGGGGGGGGGCCTCAGGAGCCCCCCCTGAGGTTTTTTGGTTATTTCTCCCAAACGCGTTGAGCTAGGAAGCTCAAATTTTTTGACTTTTGCTAAAAGGCTTCTACGCAACATGTCTGAAAATTTTGAGTTGATCTGACCTCAGGTCAGGTCACCAGAGGCGGTTTGGTGACCCTACCTCAAAAAAGTTTGCAATCACGCCAGAGCTAGAGTTTTTGACCGATCAATTTCTTCTCTTCAGGCTTTAGTTAGGGTACCAGTATGTGCAATTTGTATATCTCGGAATTTTGATATCGGTGACCTAAGGTCAGGTCAGTTTCGCGACCTCCCCATTATAAGTCAATGGGGGAAAAATCAACTCCCTGTTTTTACCACTAAAACGGGTCGGAATGGCCCCATATACCATACATGACTTCATATACGATCAACCTTCACTACCTTGAGGTCTGTTTTGCTGTTGGGCAGCTGTGAGGTCATGTGACGTCATCAAAGGTCACCAAAGGTTTTTGGCCAATAACTCCGTACAGGAACAAGATACAGACGCGTGGATGGTCTCATTGTGTTCAGCTCGTCAAGACGCATCGAATGATATAGGGGAAGGTGGGGTAAGACGGACCAGCTAAGGTTTGATGCCGCATATCTTGCTACACTGCTCTCGTAATCCATATTATTTATAGTCTTCGGAATGCTCAATCCTTCCTCTGTTGATATGTGTAAAGACTAAATTTCAAATTAAAGACATCTAGGTGGTGGATGCTCTTAAAGAGGGACATGTCAAAAACTCAGACAAGAAAAAACGTGGGGTAAGACGGACTACCCAGCAGTGCCTGCTATCCGTTCATGTGTGTTACACTTCTGCTCTGTACTCTTGTAAGAAAAAGTAACCAGAATGGTAAAATAACAAAATGAGCCTTTATTCTTTACTCATGCATGTGATGGGAGTGCAGCTAAAAGCTGGGAACATGTGTGTTGATTGTCGTTTGGCATGAATGCATGCTAACTGAGCACTTGCATGCATGGCTCACATGCAACAAAGACTCCTTCCTGAAAAATTAGCTTACTTAAACTGTCAATGTTTTGGAAAAGAACTTTCCATATGCAGGGTACAATGGACCACCACAGGGTAAGATGGACCACAGTGGTCCGTCTTGCCCCAAATCTAAATTCTGTCATTATCATGACGTATATGTCAAATAGCCCAACATTGCAAAACCATGCCTTTCCTAAAGTGTGACTAAAACTAAGTTTATAACTTTGTTTTCACAGTTAAGTGCAAAATAGAAACTAATCATGCAAGAAAGGCGCCGTAATTGAATCACCCGTAGACCTCTTATATTAGATCGGTTTGACGAAAAACAACATTTTTCTCAATAACTCAAAAGCTATGCATCCTAGCAGCATGAGCTCAAGGTGGCCATTGTTACGAAGGAAAACAAACATAGTGAGTGCATAAAGCAGTAGATACCAGCAGCGGTTCAGCCGGGAGGGCTGGTGGTCCGTCTTGCCCCGCTAGGCCGTCTTACCCCACCTTCCCCTACATGATGACCTCGAGGTCACGTGACCTGAGGTCAACCTTTGACCTTGACCTTGCGAGGTCAACATATATCATTCGATGCGGATTGACGAGAGGATCACGATGATGCCCTTAGTTTGTTCCTATCTTGACTAATTCGAAAGTTATTCGAGAAAAACTCTCTCCATATCTAGCGCCGCCATTTTGACTTTTTCGACCCCTGTGACGTCATCTTTGACCTGACCTGAAAATGACCTTAGTAAAAATTGTAGATCTTGACCGTGCATATCCGATGCCGTTTACCGTTTGTCGCTATCTTGCTTCGTTCTCGAGATCTCAGGGGGGGGGGCCGAATCGGCCCCCCCCCCCGCCAGTTTCTTGTCCCGGCGGAGCCCGCCAGGAATAGGGTTAAAAATCAGCATGCAAGATTGCGCGCAAAATGTTGGGCCGCTATCACCCAACATTTTGCACGTACCGTACACACAAGAGTCACAAGACAATTATTACAAGCCTCGCAGCGAGCTCAGCTTTTTTGTGGGTGGTTGTGTCCAGCTCGGTGCAGCTCCCCGCCACCTGGCGCTACTGATCACAACTGTAGTTCCTCCAGCACCCACCAGGGTATCCGTAGTTCCAGCGCCGACCGCCAGGACTGCCGGGGGCGAGCATCTCATCAATTTTGCACGAGCCGACGACTGACCTGCATAGGGAGGTCATCGTTCTGCAGCTCCGCGGCAGCGCGGGGAGTTGTAGCGGAGGGCGGACGGGTCCCAGATCGGGCCGCAGAGGGCCGCCCCCTCTCCCAGTCGGCGCCGGGAGTCCGCGGTGACCGGAGCGCCACGCCGTGACGGGGTACCGTTACATCTCCGGTCACACACACCTCGAAGTCGGGCACCGGAGCCGAGCAGTAACGCTACACCGGTGAACAAGGACAGATTGGACGGTGGTGATACGGCTCCAAGGCGGAGTCTACCAGGTGAGCTTTGGGAGATTGTGGCTTGAAATACCTATATTGTTGCATTACCATCCCGGTAGCTGCGTTGTCTCAAATCTAAATCATTGAATGTTAGTCTTAGTTCATTGTAACGACAAATTCCCACCTTACACCCAGTATGAGATTCGTGGAAACTGCAATCAGAGATTCATTGGCAGAAATCATCAGAAATGTTTCAAACATTCTTGAGATTGCCCATTCTATTTTGGATGATTTTGGCACTTTAATTGATAAATGTATAAAAAAATAAAAATAAATAGGTATACGCTCACCTGCTATTTAATTCTTGTGAGCACAAAGCGTGACGCGGTCATTTCAACATAACAGAAGAATATTCGCATGAACCTGTATTCGCATGACTCGGCCTGTAACGATTTTGAGCGGCCTCTCTTCGCAACCGTACATTTGTTTTGTAACGAATGTTCTTCCGTTTTCGGTTGCCCATGCTTTCTATTCCGATATGGCCTTTTATTGACATCTACATCCGAGACGGACGCGGCACCATGGTTATGTCAAAATTGTTTCGCTAATCTATAACTCACTAATAGCTGGACCGATTGTAATGAAACTTGGCCTATCGGTGAGCCTCATTAGGTGATGCATTTTTGTGTGATACGGCTGCGGTGCTCCAGCACGTGCGCACGTGTGAGAACGCTTAACGCCGCTAAGGACCGACTGGATGATTGATTGCACAACTCAGTTAGAGGTCTCACTGCACGAAAAAATTATTTTAATGATAGTAGGAAAAGGTAAACACAAAATAATCATTACATAACTCTGTCTTGAATACGCCCTTGTCATATGTCAAAAGAATAAACCCGTGTTTGTCGAAATCACGACAAACACTTCAGAAAATTAAGAGTCAAACTATGAAACTCGATTACTTGTCCTGTAATGCTTTGAAAAAAAACACTCCGCCATCATTTATAATGTAGGATATTTGATGAAACATAATTCATGCATAAATAATTTTAAAATACAACTTTTTTGACAATCCCTATGTTGAGTAGGTAGGTATGCACCTACATGTCGAACTAGTAGGTACCTATTGATTCCATACCATCATCATTAACGGAATAATAAAAGCCAGAAAAGTCTTCGATGCTGAATTAATAACACTGCTAGCAGATGCATGGAAATGATTAATTTTTTATGCCTTGTTGCCATCAAGGTATAGGTACTTACATATATAGCCGGAGCAGTGAACACATCCGTTGTTCAGTAAGTTGCAGGCAGTTAACCAAGCTTTTTTGTATTTCAGGTTCGGGCTATGGCATCAGCAAAACTCTACAGGCAGCTGGTGCTCGTCTGTTTCCTGAGCATTTCAGCGTATATCGTGGTTCTGCAGCCGTTTCTACGCGATCTCGCCACTGAAAGGCGTCGGTCGCAGTGGTCCCCGCTTCGCAGCGACCAGCATCAGCCGGCCGGCCAAGGGGCGCCATCTGCAGAGGGCGCTGCTGCGGCCAGGCCCGGTCACGGTCTGACTGGCGACGGCCGGTCTCATGGTCCAGATCGGGTGCAGAATTCGGCAGCCCGAGCAGAGGACGCTCGGATCAGCACTGCAGCTCCTGTCCCTCCGCTCAAATACATCCTCTACTGGAACGAGTTTTACGGCTCGATGGAGTTTCAGTGGGGCTCTGGGCAGAAGCCGTTCATCGAAAACGGCTGCGAGGTCAACACCTGCTTCGGCACAAACAACCGCAAACTTTTGAAGATGGATCAGTTTGACGCCATTCTTTTCCACGCCCAGACGCTGCCGTTCTTTGACTGGCCAAAGGTGCGTTCTCCGCACCAGCGCTATGTGTTTGTGACCACGGAATCGGCCCAGTACGTGGCCATTCCGCTCACGTTCTACAACAACTTGTTCAACCTGACGCTGACCTACCGTCGCGACTCGGACTTCCCCTACCCTTACGGAGGTGTGGAGCCGGTGCCGTCCCCACCTCCAACCTCGACCCGAAACTACGCCGCCGGCAAGACCAAACTGGTGGCCTGGTTCGTATCGCACTGTTCATCGAGAAGTAATCGAGGAAAGTACGTGAAGCTCCTTCAAAAGTATATACCAGTGGATATCTACGGTAAATGTGGCCCATTTAAGTGCCCGAGAACCTCCGACAACAACTGCCATAAAACCCTGCTGAACAATGACTACAAGTTCTACCTATCTTTTGAAAACAGCATCTGCAATGACTACGTGACGGAAAAGTTGTTTGACGTTTTGAAATATGACGTGGTTCCAGTGGTCTTGGGTGGAGCAAACTACTCTTCATTTGCCCCTCCCGGATCGTACATAGATGCCCTGAAGTATACACCAGAGGAACTAGCAAAATACTTGCTCAAGCTAGACAAGGACGACGCTGCTTATAACGCATACTTTAATTGGAAAGGCAAGTATAAAAACGTGGAGAAGATTTCATATAAAAAGTCGTCATTTTGTGATCTTTGTAAATATCTTCATTCAGACAAAACAAAGATCTACACAAGCATGAATAAATGGTGGGTCAAGGGTCAGTGTAAGAGTTTGAAACTATAGCTAGACAGTAAAATGATAATGGGGATAACTTGTGTTTTGTTCTTTAACATGCCGGAAATAGAAATAACGGAAAAATGTCAAGTTGGTAGCAGATCCCACGATAAGAGAAAATTGTTGTACTTATGTTGAATGCACACACTGCACACTTCCACTCCCTCTTCAAATGTCTGCAGCTGGTCTGCATTCAAACGACTTGGTTCACACTTTGTATGGTAGACAAATTCTCAGATGTTGAAGGAAGCTTTCTCTACGTTACCTATGCATTTTGGCTAATTGTGTACATTTGTTTTATGAACGGTCCCAATGTCGTTCCTTATTTTCTGACAAACATCTAGTCTCCGTCCTAGGTTTCCTTGTGCTATCACATTCATTGCTGTAGTACTTACATGGACAGAAACATCCAGGCGAATAGAGGCATGGCATGACGTATTCGATGTTCTTCTCAGTGACTCCATGAGCTATGCTATAGGTTACCAGCACTCGCTGATGATTTTCTTTTTATCATGCAGTTCAGCGATGTTGTCCTGTGTGTGCAGGTAGACGGGCTGTGATGCGCGTGCGTGTTTGTGAAGTTAAATGTGTTCTAGATGTGTATCTGTAGGTGTTTATGCTCTTCCCGGCCAGTTTATGTACAAGCATGCATGCCTAGTGGGGAGGAAACGGAAACGGAAACTGATAATGGAAACTGCGTGGTGAAAAATAAACGTTGTCGCAATAGGGGAGCAATAGTCGTTCTCACGACGACCTATATGAAGAACGCACCAAAATTGACTGCAATAGTTTTGGCTGCAATTTTAACTGCCAGTTGCATGGAAATTGCGGTCAACAGTCAAAATTATCGATCAGCCCGTTAACATACGGACCATGTAATAATTCACTTCTTTGACCACTGACTAATTGACATGTTTGCTTGAGGTATCCTGAGTGACTCAAATATGAAGAAGGCACCTACTAAGTTCGAGCTGAACATGATTGCATCATATCAACCATTGCAACAAGCCGGTTAACATTTTATACACATTTCATATATGAATATCATCCCTAATGAAACACTTGAAATGCATGATGTAGGCAATAGGGCATTTTACAATTAGCTGCTTATCAATAGGTATGCGATTGACATTCGACTTCTTCATGAAGTGTTGGACGGACAAACTAGGCGACAGGCATTTATCTATTCAAGTCTATAAACAGACTGCGGGCGACATTGGCAGCTCTCGCTACTGCCATTTGAATACGATGGCAACAGAATGGCTAGTGCAGATGGTTTACTAGCATTCACTACCTGTGGCAGCCGGCAGGTTAATGACAAAGCCCCACAAACACATCATCACAAACATGCTTAAAAAATAAAAACGAAATAAAAACATACAAAAGACAGCGGGCAGCTGCCGTTATAAGCCACAACTAATAGGATGTCTACATTGTACCTCACTGCACAGCATAAAGCCAAACGTCGATAACTAAATAGGTGGCAAATCTTACTTTGAAATTAGCTGCTTTTAAAGCCTTTAAACACTCACAATTCTAGAGTGTGACATTGTTCGCTAACCCACCAATCTTGCATGTTGCTATACACTTTTGTGCCGTTACTTTGTAAATATTTACACAAATCACAAAAAGACGATTTCTGAAACGTTTTCTTAGCCACATATCTGTATTTTCCCTTCCACTGAAAATACGCATTGTAAGCAGCGTCGTCCTTGTCTAGCTTGAGCAAGTATTTTGCAAGCTCCTCTGGCGTAAACTTCAGGGCATCTATGTAAGATCCGGGAGGTGCAAATGAAGAGTAGTTTGCTCCACCCAAAACCACTGGCACCACATCATACTCTAAAGCGTCAAACAGCTTTTCGGTAACATAGTCATTGCAGATGCTGTTCTCAAACGATAGGTAGAACTTGTAATCGTTGTTAAGTAAAGTTTTATGGCAGTTGTTGTCCGCACTTCTTGGGCACTTCAATGGGCCACATGTACCGTAGACATCCACTGGTATATACTTTTGCAGGAGCTTCACGTAATTTCCTCGATTGCTCATCGATGAACAGTGTGATACAAACCAGGCCACCAGTTTGGTCTTGCCGGCGGCGTAGTTTCGGGTCGAGGTGGGAGGAGGGGACGGCACCGGCTCCATGGCCCCGTACAGGTAGGGAAAGTCCGAGTCGCGACGGTAGGTCAGCGTCAGGTTGAAGGCACTCTTGTACTTGCTCGATGTGAGCGGAATCGTCAGGTACTGGGCCGACTCCATCGTCACAAACACGTAGCGCTGGTGCGGAGAGCGGACATCAGGCCAGCCGAACAGGCTCACGGTTTGCACGTGAAACAGAATGGCGTCAAACTGGTCCATTCGGAGCAGACTGCGGTTGTTTGTGCCGTAGCAGGTGTTGACCTCGCAGCCGTTTTCGATGAACGGCTTCTGGCCAGAGCCCCACTCAAACTCCATCGAGCCGTAAAACTCGTTCCAGTAGAGGATGTATTTGAGCGGAGGGTCAGTTGCCGCCGCGCTTGCTTTAGCATCTTCAGCTCGACTTTCCAGACTTTGTGCCCTATCTTGGCCATGTGGCCTGTTTGCGCTAGTTAGACCGTGACCAGATTCTGCCGAAGAAGCGCCCTCTGCAGGAGATGACGCCGGACCTCGAGGTTCATTGCCGGCCGGCTGGTCACGGGTGCTGTTAGCCGAGAGCCATGACTGTGGCCGGTGTCGGTCAGCTTTGAGCTCCCGCAGAGTCGGATGGAAGACTAGTATAAAGGCTGAAATGACTAGAAGGCAGAATAATATCCGCTTCTTTCGAGTCGTGAGACATGCCATGTTGAATTACACCTGAAACGTGGCACAAAGTGAGCAGCACAAACATTTTGCTACACCGTATTAAATGCAAGTAAACTTTATAAGTAGGAGTAAGCTAAAGAAAAAACTGAGAGGCAAAGACCTTATAAGCAAACTTGACACTTTATTTGCAACCATCCCACGCCCTGGTGGGGGCCTCGGCCAGTTACGCAGCCCTATTATCTCAAAACTAAGAAAGCGAGATAGACGCGAAAAAAACCAATAGAAAGCTCGCTGTCAAATCTTTGAGCATTACGGAGATAATTTTTTCGATCAGGTCATTGCGGAGGTCACATCAGGTCACCAAAGGATTATCTTTGTCCCAAATCGGCGTATAACTCGGCCACCAAAAGATTTGAGATCAGATTTGACCTCAGATCAACGGTTTAGACTCCAGAGGGCAAAACAGAGAGCAAAAAAGAAAAACATTTGTCGCAATGTTCTGCAATAACTCGGAACACCAAGCTCATATTACGTTGGTATTAACGGCATAGTAATTCTCTCGTCGAGACACATCGAATTAGCAATAAGTGGACATGAAAAGATCCATTTTACACTTTAATCACTGGTCAGAGTGCGGAAAACGGACAGCTGACCGTTCCCGGCTGACCGGAAAAGGTCATGTTGCATATCAATCGAACCCTATTGATGACCTAAACATATTCCAGTTGCTTTCATAGCTCTGAGTAAACCCAACTAACCTTCACTGGGTGTCGCCAACAGGCGTTCGGCCGGCTCCCGCGCCCCACAGCTCTCCCGTCAGCGGCTCCCAATCGAGTGTCCGCCTGCAGCGCGCGCAGCTGGTCTATCAGCACGAGGCCTACCCCGCTCAGCTGTCAGTGGTGACGTTTTTCAAACGGTCGCAAATGTCACGTGCACCGACGTTAGGGACATATTGTGCGGCATATAGAGCGCACCACAGGTGGGGCCGCACGTGTCTTTACAAAGGGTGTGAAATATGGGTGTCAGGGTGTATGTCATCGTCCCAATCCTAGCAATACCGTGAATGGCATTTGGCAGCACCAGTTCAACATACACGATAAGTCGTTGGGCTAGATTGGAATCGAGATGACCCCCTAACTCTGTTGACCAAGAATACACAAATGCTTGAGGAATGCGCTCACGCGAGACAGGGGCGACCGAATGACAGTTGGGATACAACTGTCACCAGCTGCTGCACCAGCTGGTGGTGGACCAGGTAGCGCGACCTACCTGGACGACGATGTTGGTAACAGTAAGAACTAGCAAGTAGCAACACATTGCTGTTTGACGGATTGGGTTTGAACGAGACCACCTGTGCCCTGTAGCTTACAGGTATAAGCGCACCACGTTTGATAAAACAAATATCGTTTGCGTTTGCCATCATTTGTAGTACATTTGTACACTCATAATTTAACCCTCGCCCGTATAGGGGGGGGGGGGGGTTCGAACGGACCCCCTCGGGTTTTTCGCAACTAACTCACGTAAAAGCGGCCTATCGCGCCGAGACTTTCAGAACTCTTGCGTTAATCAATATTACACATACCCTGAAAATTTTATAACCCTGACCCTATTGACCTTTGACCTATGACCTATTTTTCGAGACCATGTACGTATGTATGTATGTATGTATTGCTTATCTTTGGAGAAACCACACAGGCACTTACACTCCAGCGTCAAACACAATCAAAGTAAGTTAAAATGTCTGGCCATGTCTGGCCGGAATCGCGATTCAGCGTGTGTCGACTGTCGGCTCGCATTAGCCGCGCGTTTGCAGTATTTCCGTGGTTTCAAGCGTTCAATCATATGATGTCGATATGCATTAGGGTGGGTGTCAAGATCACCTGAAGGTCAGGTCAGGTCATTGATCTTTGATGACCTCGGTTCACTATTTCGAGTTTTACATGTTTCTATGCTAGTTTTTTTTTTTAGCTGAATTCTAATTTAAATATCCATTTGAGTAGGATTGCGGGTTTTTTGAAGCGCTGAGTTTTTGCAGCGAGCTTTTTCTCTTAGGGCCTGCGAGATACCCGCGGAAACACATATCTCTTCAGCATTGCGCGCCACACAGGAATGCGGCTGAATCACGTGCGATTGTGAGTGAGGTACCCCCAGTTGGAAGATTCGGCTGTAGAATTGTAGTTTTAAATACGTAGTTTGACGTAGATCTCGGAAAAGTGAGATACGGCCAGAAATGAGTGTGGGTACCTCCGTCCTGAAGATTCTGATCGGCGCCGATTGAAATAAGTCGCCGTGCATATCTCGGCTTATTGACGACCGATTGACACGGGACAAACACCGATCGATACCAAATGGCTCTGGGGGGGGGGGGGGGAGTAGAGTGGCAAGTTTTCCTTGACCCGACGAACCCGGAATTATCCCGAGGGGGTAGGGGTGGGAGTAGAGTCGGGGGAACGGGGGGGCGAGTGCAAGTACCAAGTACTTTCGCAAGTACCAAGCAAGTACCAAGTACTTTTACAAGTACCAAGCAAGTACCAAGTACTTATGCAAATACCAATTTGGCAAGTACCGAGTACTTTGGCAAGTACCAAGCAAGTACCAAGTACTTTTGCAAGTTTAACAAGTTTTTCGCCAATATCGAAGCTTCTAGACGTCCGATCGTCACCGGAAAAAACACCATTCGATCCCAAATTTTCTCCTTAATCTTTTTATCGCCAAAGCGACGCGGAGCGAGCGCAAGATATCTTGTTTAGCAACCATTTGAACATGAAGTAGTTTTGGTGCCTTTGTAACATGCTACGAGACTTTCAGAGGCGGTTGACACCTACTACGAATACCCGGTAAAACCACTAATGGTTGACCTGACCTGACTTAACCCGACCTGGCCTAAAAGCATGACGACATCATCTGTGATCAAAACTAACATGATATTTGCAATCAGCACCCCGAAAAACCCCATAGCCGCAACACTTTACGACGTTCTAACACGTCCCGATTATCCCGATTTGGGTCATTGACCCAAAAGGAAGGTCAACCAATGACCTAGGACCTTAAAGTTGTGTGTCATCGGCTTCCTCTTGTCACGGGCAACACGCTCGTTTTCTCAGCGGAGCTGTAGCTCGACCAGGGGCGAAACGGCAAGGGGGTCCAACAGACCCCCCCCCCCTTCGTTCGCGGCAGGCAAAACACCAATACGAGTGAGGATTAAAGGCAATATGTAAGCTCAAATCATTTGTATGCACTATGCACTGCTATGGAGGCTTGTATAGCTGAAAAAAAAAATAACTCATGCAGACATGGCAACTGTAGCCGCAGCTCAGCGCCATCAGTGGCCATCGTAGCAACTAAAGCTTTGACCGAGATCCACCGAGAGGGCATGATGGTCAATAAAGACTTTAAAGGAGTTGCCGTGGAGCATCCGCCTTCTCTGTCCTCAGGACCCTCTCCCCTCACCCTCATCCCGACCAGGCTTTCTTGACGGATATCCCTCCGGGCAGCCAATAAGGGAAGCTGAAAGCGTACCAATTCGGAGCATGAACATGAGTTACCGTTTGAGCGACTGGGTGGCGTATCTCATCCCACCAGGCACCAGCAGTAGCACCCTCGTTCGAACTGGATAGGATAAGTACCTGAGCCCCGAGGTGCACTGCTCGGCGATCGACTTATAAAATTACATGAAGGAAAACGTAGTTACAAGAGAGAGATGCCCAAACTGGTCATCGCACCCTCAGATAGGGCAAAGCTAAATTAATCTGCAGACATGATGCACATTCTGCCTGTCCCAGCACACATAGCCGTTCCGTTCTCCGCTAAACTACCTGAATGAGTACAATCCAATCCATTTTTATCTCATGAATGCTGTAGCCTGTAAGCGAGCTGACGTTAAAAAAAGATCACTAATACTGAATTGATTTCCTCCAGCTGGCTCAATGGGCCAGTGTTCAGCGGGTCGCTCGGGAGTCGGGCGGCGCGACCGTCACTGACCTCTGATGGTCTCTCTCCCACGCCTGCGGACACCTGCGGATCGGGCCGCACCTGGGCCCACTGCGCCGGGTGTGGTTTTACCCGGGTCAGCTGTGATCGGAACGGTGTGTGGGAGCGCGGGCGGCCCCCGGAGCGCTGTCTAACTCAGCGGACGGGTCCGAGCGAGGGGATCAGGGGCCGTATTCACGTCGATCATTTTTGTAAGAATTTTCTTGTGCATGAAGTATCTCTTCATATTTTTTTTTAAGCACGTGAACTCGGTCGATAAAATTAAGAAGTGTCGACATGAATACCAAATTATACTCACGAAAGAAAATCAACTTATGAAGTCGACGTGAATACGGCCACAGGTCCGGCGGCGTGTCGGCCCTCAAATCGGCTGTTGTTGGTGGTCAGTTAGTGGTCAGAGTTTGTGGAGGCCGGTCACCGCAGGACAGCGCACCGCGCAGTTGGCTGCGCCATACTGACCGGCGCGGCTGACCGGTCACTGCAGGACGCTGACCGGCCACCGCAGTTATCCTGACCATAGTTCAACTGATCGATCACCTGCAGTGACACTGACCGGTCACAACGCGGACAATGACCGGTCACTGCAGTGACACTGACCGGTCAACTCAGGGACAGTGACCAGTCACTGCGGGACACTGACCGGTCACTGCAGTGGGGGAGACCGGGGCCAAGTGACCAGCCGGCGCAAAGTGGACACTCCGCTTTTTAGCCGGCTCACAACTGCGGCGGTCGTGATCGCGCCATGGCGTCAACTTCAGTATTTGGTTGCCAATTATAGTTCCCTTCTCTGAATGAGCCACACCGGGGTTTCCGACCCCTCGGCATTGTTCCGTAACAGACGGAAAGGCATTTCTTCTCAGGTTATTAACTACTCTTACGCTTTTAACCCTCGCCCATGTAGGGGGCGAGGTTGGTGCACCCCCCCCCCTGAGGTTTTTCTTAGCTATACGCCGAACCGTTTCAGATAGCCTGCTCAAATTTTCAGTACCCCCTGGGGCATCCTTTGCGCAACTTTTGGTTTTTTTTTTTGTCAAGGCCCTGTCAGGTCACGGAGTTA